TAGAATTCATTATGAGGAACAAGTTTACTTAATATATAAAAGTTGTTTTTATTAATAAAATAAAAAGTTTAATATATATGACAACTATTTTCATTTAATTATAATAATTTTTAAGTTGTTCTTCATTTATTGGGGGGACTGTATATATATATTTTCAGGTGAAAGATGCTTTGTGCATATGCGTTTTTATTGAGTAATTTATATCCAATTACATATACACTCAAGTCCATTTAAATTAATCTCACTCTATACCTATAGACTTACCTAGTGTATCAATTAACACCATAAAGGTGGATCCACATCCTAAGTGGAATCTTTAGGGGATAGAAATCCTATTACTAGTTTTAAACTATCTAACCTAATATAGATTTTGTCTCGACTGCATCTGTCATGAGAGAGGTGCAATATTACCTTTCAGGAATATAATTATAGAACACCTGGATATCCCTATATATATTTTTTTGCTTAGAATCTTAGAGAAGATAAATTACTCTTTGTTACTACCTGCAACTTTCAATTATACTACAAATATAATCTTCTTTTAAGCAAGCACCAGATTGGGATAGCCCCAGGCTAGAGTATTCTTGTGTGACAGAGTCTACCGTCGCCAGTTTGGGTTAGAGTTTTTGTAGGCTTATACCAAAGTTAGACCAGAAGTCTTTCCTCGTATAACCTTCCTTGCTTTAACCTGTTTTCAGCCTGCAATCGTCAGGAAGACCAGAGATCTCATCTTCATACAGCCTAACTAAATTTGAAGATTGATTGTCAATTAATTGGATATAACATGAATTGGAAGCTGGTCAACTAATCATGAAAGTGATAAATTTTTGTAACTAGGTGGATTTGAACCTTAGACCTTCTCCTGATAACCTATAGAGCATTACTATTGTACAATAGACCTATAGATCTTTAAATATATATATTTTATAATCTAATTAATATATTTATTTGAAAATATTAATTTTAAAGTCAAAAAAAAATTTAAAAAAATATATTATAAAATATATATATAAATTTATATATAAAATATAAATGGAATAACCTATAGGTCTATAGTACAGTGATTTAGCACTTCACAGATTAGATCATAAGATATCAGTTCAATTTCAGATGAAGATAATTAAATAGAACCAATATGGTATCTGATATCATAATTAGTAATGTACTGTTTCTTATAAGAAATTACTTCATATGCTGATCCAGCAGATGTTAAGATTATAATCTTCAGAAAAGGTGTTATGGTATGACAATTATTTAGTTGAAGCATGATAATTACCAGAAGTTGTTCTATAATGGTTGAACTCAACTACTAAAGTAAGAAAAAGGCCTTAAAGCTAGTACAAGAAACTATAATCACTTATATATATCATTGGTATAATTATTATACAATAAAACAGAATATATAAAAGTTGTATTATATTTAATATTTGTATTCTTAGATTTGGAAATTTACACTAATTGGCTCATTTGGAGTGTTTATTAGAAGTTTAAGAAAAAGTTCTTTAAGAAATTATGCCTACTTGATCAAAATAGCCCTTAGATTTGACAGTTAGTACCAACTAATGATAAAACCAATATATTTACTAGAGTATGTATACTTGTATCAAAGGTTCCAGCTACCATTTGTGGCTTGTACAGGATAGAAGTATAACGTAATAGATACTTACTTAAGTAGTTATAGAATTATCATATAATGATAAAAGCCAGAATATGGACTTATCTCTGTGTATAAGTTAATATTCTGATAAAAAGAATAGGTAGCAAGATTAACATTAACAATAGTTAGTAAACTATTTATATATAGATAATTGTAATCATAATTGAAATATCAATAAAATCCATATATATATCACAACTTAGTCTTAAAAATAAAATATAATATAAATAAAAATTAAAATTTTACTATAGAGAAATTTTTAAAAAAATTGAATATAAAAATAAATAAAAATTTTAAGCTTACAAAAAAATTATAAAAGATTCATTATTATATCTAATAAATGTTATTAAAATTGATTTATTTTTTTATTATATAAAATTATTTTTAAAAAATCTTTAAAATCTTAAAAACTTTATATTTAATATAAAATTTATGTTTTTTAATAAAATTTGACTAAATTTTAAGTTAAGTTAATTATTAAATAATTTTTTATACTTAATAAAAAAATAATAAAAATCATATTATTATTAGTATGACTTTTATTTAACAAATTCATGTATTGAAATAATTTTAATAATTTTTATTATTTCTATTTTGTAATGTAATTAAAATTAATTATTTTAAAAAATTTTTAATAATATATTTTAAAAACTTTATTAAGTAAACTTGTTTTTTATATTCTTAAATATATTAATATAAGTTTTTATCTTATTTTATCAATTAATTATTGAAATATTACAAAAATAAAAATTGATGTATTGTCCAATTATTTTTAACTCATACTGTATATTTTATATTTTATATTTTCTTATTTTTCTATAATCTTTTCTTTTTAATATATTACATTTATTTATTTATTTTTTTTCTCTTCTTTGTCAAAGTTAAAATTTTTTTCTAAATTTTTTTTTCTTTTTAAAATGCTGTTTTTTATTTTATTATTTCTCTAATTAATTAATATTCTTTTTTCAAGAACTATATTACAAAGTAACAACTTCTTTCAAGTTGTGATTTTATGTTTTTGTTTTTTTTTTAAAAAAAATAGATAATTTATCTTTTAAAAAAGTCATTTTATAATTCAAATATTTAAATTTTAAGATTAAAGATAAGATTATTTTTTTTAATTTTATTTTAAATACTTGTCAATATTATTATTTCATAACTTATTTAAAAGTATTAATTATAAAATCATTTTTTGATTTATTCGATTTTCAAATTTAAAAAAAAACATAATTAGTTTATCTTTTAAAATATTAATATGGAATAATTATACTATAATGGTTTCTGAATTATTAATATGAACAAAAACATTAATTTTATTTATACTTCCTTTGACTATATGGTTATACAAATCCAGGTTACAATTTAAAACCTAAATTTTATTTCACTTTTCTTATTATCAATACTTATTAAACACATATTTGTAATTAACAATACAACTAGAAGTTAGTTATTATTTACAATTTTTTCTTTTTCTCTTCTTGGATTCTTAAAGTTTCACATGTTGTTTAAATCTAAGATATAGATTAATTTGTAAGAAACATATAAATATCAATCTATATAAAACCTCACAATGCTTGTATTGGATATAAATCATTCAATAAAGCTGTACATTGAAGTGCTTTTTACCTTAAAAATAAAATAAAAATAAAAATGCTTTTTTTTATCTTTGAATATATTTACAATATTATTTCTGGCGAATTATATTAAACTTAATTCTATCACGAATTTCGTATTTTGGCATACAGATAATTGTTATCAAATACATCAGCGCTAAAGATAATGTCCTAAAATGAAGATAACAAACAAAACAGGCACAAGTAATTATGACATCATCCGAAAATGAAAAAAGACATGTCATGAAGTTTTCCCTTTTAAGTCATTGTAACTATAATTAATGGTCCAAGATAAATAGGCTAGATCGAGAAATTTATTTACTTCTATAAGGATGTCGTGGATTAAAGTTCCAGGAAAAGAGTTTTTGGAGAAAAATAAATTTCAAAGGTGTAAGTGATAGCATACATGATGTTTTCTATTTTGAACAAAATTGATCAAATAATCGAGGATTGTATTTATTGATCCTGACCTCATTATCCCTTTCATTGAGTCACAGCCAGAAAAAAAAACTTTTGTCCTCCTCGTCACCGCGGATCCAAGAAATCTTACCTCGTGATGGACCTTCAAAAGATTAATTTTACTCCCTCAAATAAGCATATAGAAATTGTTCATTGTGGAAAAGTCAAGTTTCTCTTGAAATATGCAAGAGATTCGATAGGAATCGCGTTCATCTATGAAGAACTGCATCTTATTGAAGAGATCGTGATCTATTGGAGTCAATTCTTGGAGTGTAAGATTGTCGACGGAAGAAAGATTGAGATCATTTTGAAACCCAAGTTTTTAAAACGCGTAAGATATCTGTTGAGCAGTTTGTATTGAATAAGTAATAAATAAGATTTTTTTATTTTCATTATCAGTTTATGGAACATAAAAGAATATTGCATGAGCACGGGCAACAAATCGTGACAAACAGACTTTATCAGGACCCTACCGGAGGATGTTTAGAAAATGTTTCATCCATAATATTTACACCTTGTATTCGCGTTCATCCAACAACAATTATTATGTTTCAAGCGTGCATTCAAAAATTCCTTTTGGTGAATGAAAGCAGCAGTCTATCTTTCTTTCATGGCGCTATTGCGGATGTGGTAAGTGTTAATTTATTTCGTTTTTAAAGAATTTTTTGTCCAAATTATGTAACCGTAACTTAATAATATATAGAACATTAATTATTCTGAAATGCAACTAAAACGCTCAGACAATAATAGGACATGGATTTTTTCGAATGATATGAAGGTGAATTTCTTTTTTTTTTTTTAATAAAAACTTCAATAATAACATCCATCCATAATTATTATAACTTGTCAGTCACCGAAAACCTATGAAAGACTTGATGAAAAAGATACGGTAAATTTTAAGTATTCTCTGTTTTGTTTTTGATAAACGCATCCACGTTGTCGCAGTATCTTATAATTATTTCAATCTTACTTCTCGCCTGTTAATATAAATTTAGCTACATATCACCTTCGTATTTTTCACACATAATCGTGTTTTACTTCTCCCGTTTGGCACGCCATTTATAGTCCTCGTTCAGACAATTCATTCGCGTTTCAGAATTGACGTGAATAACCTTGAATACAAAAATTTTTGTCAGGAATTTATCACAATCCAAGGGGAAGAGGATTGGAAGCTGGCCAAGGTAGTCACTAGAAAGTTTAATAATATGAGAATGGTGATAAAAATTCTTAACGGAATTGATAGTGAGAGTATCATGTGATTTTTACGACTCAAACCGAGAGGGCCAGCGTTATACGCGAATATATATAGATGGACGCGATGCAAATAAATAAAAAAAGTCAAACCGTTATCGTTGAGAATCCCAAATATTTGTAACAGCATTTAGTAAATTCATGAAACCAGCTGTTATAATAAGAAAACAAGCATAATTTTACCTCAGCATTATTAGAAACATTCATATTTACAGTTTTTCATAACATGACTGCATTAAAAGAATACCTCGAAAAATTTTACTAATCCATATTGGCACGTGCATTTTATATTTTTCGGATTAAATTTTTTCATTATTTTGATTTCCATCCCAACATCTTTTGGTGTGCCTTCAATAAGTCATAAATTTATGTACAGTCGTCACAGAAAGTAACGCCCGAAAATCAATTTCAATAACTTTTTTGAAAATTAAAAAAATATATTCAAAAATTTGCAACAGAAAGATACTACTAAAAGTATAAATCATAAACTTTTGGATAATGTATAATAAAAAAAATATTAATGGTTTTTATTTTTTCAATGACTGTTTACAATAAAAATAAAGTTTTTATTTTTTAAATAAAAAAATTTATACAGTGTATATATATATATATAATTTGAAAATTCATTAGTTACATTCAAATTTATAATTATATAATTTATTAATTTTTAATATTTTTTATAATAAATTATATAGTAAAATTGACAAAAATTATATTTTGAAAAGTTTTTTTTTTAAATTAAACTTAAATTTAAAAGTTGATTTTTTAACAATTGTCTTATCAAAATATATCAAAATTTTTGATTAATAATATAAAAAGACCTAGATTTTAATATAATATTTTTTAAGAATTTTTGATTATATGAATTATTGATCTATAAATCATTTATTGAAAATTTTCATGTTAAAAAAAATCATTAAAAAAAAATCTCTAAAATTTGATTTTGGAAATTATTAAAATCTAAAAAAAATCCAATAATTAAGAATTGTAATAAACTATTTTTTAAAAAATTTTTAAAACAATTAAATTAATTTTTAATTTTTAAAAGATAAAGTTACTTATAACTGACATTTACATATTTTAATATAATTATTTATTAAAAATAAATTGTTAAAATTTAAATTTAAAAAAATTTTTTTTGACTAAAATATTTTATAATATTTCTATACTTATTAAACTTGAAAATATATTTCAAAAAATATATTTAAACAAAATTATTGAATTTATTATTTGTTTTAATATAATCTTTTCAAATAATCTTTTTTAATTCAAAAAATATTACAATTAATATTATAAAAAATAATATAATCAACTTTACTAAATTTAAATTCAAACTTAAATTTATTAAAACTATATTATAAAATAACTTCATATATATTTTTTTAAAAAATCTTATAATTAATAGTTCAAATATGAAAAGTTATATTAAATTATTCAAAAAAATCTTCAATATCATTAAATTTTATATAATTTATAAAAACTCTTTTATATTTAAAATATTTAACTTATTATATAGTTTATTTAAAGTTTCTAATAATACTATTTTGATATCAAGTTAATATTGAATTTATTATAAGTTTAATATAATAAATCACAACTTATATATTAAATTATTTATAAATTAATATCAAATCAATATTATTTTAATACTTAATTTAAAACTCTAAGTCTACTTGACTTAAAAACAATTAATTTTTCTAATAAATCTATCAAAGTTTTTATAATAACAAGTTTAGTAATCTTGTTATTTTTAGAATTAAAATACTTTTAAAAACTCTTTTTACTTATGAATTCTTCTATTACTTATATTCTAAACAATATAAAAATTTTTATTGCTTTAAATATAACTTTTATATAAAAATTATATAATATATTTTTAAATACTTTTTAACAAAAGATAAAATCAATTAAATAATAAAATTTATTAATTTAATATTTTATCCAAACAATATCATGCAACTAAAATTTAATATATTACAAGTATTAAAATTGATATATAGAATTATCTTTAATATCTTTTCAATATTACATATAAACAATTAAATCAAAATATTTTTTATTATATATATACTATATATTTAGTATATATTTAAATAAATATTAAATATAAAAAAACTCTTTCCCACTCCCCCTTCTGTGCTTGGAAATTTCCTTTTTAGGAAATTTTTAGGTTGTTTACTCTTTTTTCTCTTCGCTCTTTCCCTTCCCCTCTCCTATATCCTTTTACTTCCCCTTCCTTATTTTTTACCCCTCTTTTCTTCAGACTCTCTTATAAAAATTACCCCTCCCCTTTCCTTTTTCCCTTCCCTGCCGAAGTTAGGTTTTTCCTTCTTCCTGAAGGTTTTCTTTCTAGGCCTCTCTTTCTTTTATAAACCCACTCTCTATAACATTAACCCCTGACCAGTCGGCTCCCTTTTCTCAAGACCATACACAGAAGTGGTAACTTCTCTTAAGACGTGGGCTTCAGAATTTTTCTCTCTTCCATGGCCTCACAGAAAAAGGACGAATGGTTTACCCCCTCCAAAAGATCGAC